CTAAATACGATTTTGATTTTTAACGTTATATATGTTAGCCGGAATGGATTAACAGTTTGACAAAACTGACTCACATCTACGTGGACAACAACAAACTGTCGACATTTCCTGCGGAACTGTGCGAATTAAAGGGGCTGGAAGTGCTGTGCGCACCGGGCAACTCTATATCGGACATACCTTCCGCACTGACGGCGCTCAAGCGACTGACGCAGCTAAACTTGTCACGCAACCGAATAAGAAACGTCCCTGGCGGTAAGTCACTTAACATGCGACGAAAACCTTAAAACGAATTCACCATTCATTTAGTTAGTTTCAAAAGTTCAGGTGCATAAACGAAAAAAAATTAAATGTATATTAAACTAAGGCCCATAGGCCCCTGAATATTATAATCAGATTATTCGGATCAGGTATAATAGTTGCAGTGTACATTTTATTTTGATAATTTTAAAGTGTACACAAATCTTATACTTACCATCTTAATGCCTTCTTATAAGGTGCTATTCCACTTCCACCACTCTGCGTAATGGCGTGTACTTCCGTGTAAACCGTCGTAGTGTTACCATACTATAAAAGTACCAAATATACTAGTATAGATCGTTGAAAATATTCTACAACTTCACGGCYGACGCCTCGAATTTTCATTATATCGTGAGGTGTAGTGTTGTTATTTTTATTTTATGTTATTGTACATAACTTATTATATTATATGCTAATTAAATTGCTTATACTAATCTGATTATCGCTAATTTTTAAATATAAAACTAAATATTACTCAAAACTTTCTTGCGATGTTTTTTGTTAGCAAATGATTCGATTAATTTTTTGGTATTGATTTCTTTGAGAAATTTGTATTCAATTGCAATTACCGATAATAAAAATAATTTAATTTGCCTGATCATTGATCACTGCTAATTTTAAWTATCTTCAAAACTGAAAATATTTCGCCTTCTCWCCAAAAATCAATAAATACATTCTGAAAACGATGTTTACAATGTTAACCTTTGGAAAGCTAGTCACCGTATTGGTGTTTATTTAATATTCCAGAGATTTCAGTTTCTCGAAAATTCATTTACAACTGCAGATTATAAATCAGTTTTATCTATAGGATTMAATGAAATTAATTACCCTTATAGTTTTATTTCCTCRTCTTTTAAACTAGTTGGTTAAAAATTCGAATGTTTTGTTTAGTCTGCAATAAACTTTTTTCATTKTTCCATTTATACGATAAATTTTTCAATTTCAACATTAAATATTTGAATTCTTAATTCATCTCTTGCATTTTATCTTTATTCTTTATAGCATCAACTTCATTGTCATTAATAATTATCAAAACCTATATCTACCTTCGATAACGACTTAATAATATTATAACATGTAGGTACCTGAGGATTGTATACTAACCTAATAACACAAACCATAATAATAAAAAAACAATGTAAAATATTTAAAAAAAAAACCTAAGTCACAGTGCCTATAATCTATAATCTATATTATCCGTTAATACGGCTATAATTATAGGTATTGTGACATGTTAGCAATATTTTATTACCCGCATAAAAAACATAGTTAATAGTCCTTTCATAAATGAATATAATATGGTATGTTCTAATATCTATTGGCTAATACATAACWACGTGATAAATGATAATTAATCGACATTCTATTTATACATATATGTTCATCTGTGCGATAATAATTCGATTAACTATAAATATTAAATAAATATATATAGTTYGATGATCATACTATTAATATTTAAAAAATATTTAAAGTATTTCAATATTTTTTAAATTAATTGATCTTGAGTTTTAAAATTAAAATTTTTTTGAAACATCAGAGATATTTTTCCATTTTTTCATAGGAAAATTTGCAGTTTCAACTGTTCTATTCTAATAACGTTCAAATTATATAATATGTAGATGTTTTGAACATGCCATCTCTGTGGCTATTGGACTTGTCTCACAATGAAATCGAAACTCTGCCAGAAGTCTACCCAGACAAATTGTATTACGGTGAAATATTATTGAATGGAAACAAGCTGATCTCCGTTCCGGACAATCTCAGTCGTCTGAAGAACATAGAATACCTATCGTTGTCCCACAACAAGCTCCTATACGCGCCTGCGGTAACTTTCAGGACGGAAGCCAATATCAACATGGACCATAATCCTTTTTTGAATTACTTGCCGACCACTATTAAGTATATAATTATTGTGTTTGATTATTTAAATTATTTCTTTGAATTAGTACATAATCAGGGCCCCTTTTACACGTGAAATTATACTTTAACATACTATACAGTATTGAGTATTATACAAAATATACATATAATATAATAATGTTCATTAGGAATTAAGCACTAGGTAATAAAATATTATAAAACAATCATTTAGGTTAGATTAAATAGAGAACCGATCAAATTTTAGAGGGTGCAAAAATCTTCCTCCATAAAATAAGCCCATTATTAWCTTTAAAAATATATGAAAGGGGAGGGGTACTTTGAATATTTTTACATTTCCACCTATTTAATATAGCTAGGCTATGTGTGTAAAATTATTAATTAGAATAATGATGTTTTGAATATTATGAAAAACTATTAAATAAAAAATCTATACCCTGATAAAAGTC